CATGCAATATGATCATAATATTAACATCGTTGAAAATTAAGTACATGTATATGGTAAAGGAATCGAAAAATGGTTTTARGAAAAATTMTGTGTGAATAGCTTGCATGACTTAATTTGTACGAACATAATGTTTTCTTCATTTAACTCTTAAAAGTTTTAAAACAGAAATAGGACCGAAACATCCACAASTGTTTTTAAAGCGAGACATAGTTTGCAAGGAAAAAACTAATACAGTGTTGACTTTGAATCATAATTAATTTAAAGATGTTTGAATACGTTATCTAGTTTGTAACGCAACTTTATGTCACGCATGTTAGTTATTATTCAAAATATGCAAATTATCACGTGAAGTGATTTTCCGAACCGCTTGATCAACTCGACTTTAATACTCGACTGAATAAACTAGTTGAGTTTAACGAAGACATCTTACAATACCTGAACGTGAAAAGTRAAAATAGTTATCGAGGATATTTATCGTGTCATTGTTAGCTTCCAATGTCTGACATCGCCAATTTTAATCGAGTGTGGGTTTTTGATGAGTTGATGTACGTATCCTATTCCCTGCRATCTAGGTTTATAAATKTAGATGGTGAAATTTAGGAAGTGTGCCCCGGTTCCAGAGGCTTGTCTTTTATTCTTTTGCTTACTACATGTATGTTGTCAAGCGGCAAAACGGCAAGACGTTTCCGTTAATCGGTTTGTTGCTTCGCGGCTCGACAACATAGTAAAGCAAAAGAATAAAARAAAAAAAGCATGTTCATGAGCTTTGAAGGTTTATCAAATTGCTATAGGACTCAAAAACAAAACCATATTAATAGTCTGAAGTCGGTATCTTATATATTTACTTGGAAATTTTTAGAATATTCCAATGTCTGGAACACAACTCGGCATAGACTATCAGATTATCGCATCAATATTGACAATACGCCGACAAAAAGCGGTTGTGTCGAGCCATTGAGAGTCTGAAATACATTATTAATCAAGATTCAAGTAGACAATGATATAAGCAATACTCGAGAGTACAAAATACCTTGATATTGCTCGCTTTGTAAAAGTAAAATCTTGAAATTGGCGCCAAATCGACCAATTGATAGATCCTCGTAACCAGACCCTACTCGAGCGGAAAAGATGAAAAGGATCTGAGTACGGGAAAGAGCCACAGGGATCCCGTGCGTGGAAAATTTCCAAATTTGTAGTAAATGTATAAAGCACCGAATTAATATTTTTATTTCCTTGATCTTGAAAAAAATACTTCTTTTAACATAGATAGCTGCACATTATTTCTGATAACGACATTCTTTACGGATTTTATCAAATCAGCCCACATGAAGGATAAAACTTCCCCAATATAGATGTTAGTTTTCAATGATTCTTCCTAGATATAACCATACAGTATGTTTGACATTATTCTTGTGCTTTTTCTTTTTTTGGGGAGGTAATTTATTTATTTATTCGTTTATTTATTTACTCGATTATATATCTATTTATAATTTTTTTTATTTGTATAATTGCAAATATTCATTTATTTTTTTTGTGTGTTTTTTTTTATTTCTTACGCCTGATAAATTAATACACACTTTAAACATATATGCTATGTTTTTATACGACTGTTAGATGTTATTCCAGATCCTGATTTAACACCTCAGTCTTTAGCTAACTTATAGTCTGTACAGCAATGACCCATGAAAGTCGTTCACAATAAGAACCTCTATTATGTCATGTCTTAGGAAGTTAACGATGTCGTCCAGAGAGTGTCTGGAGAGAACCAACCAGTTCCACTTTGGCGAACAGTTTCATCTGAAAGTGTTGACTCGTCCAAGCACAAAGAGGCTCCTTTCAGCTATTCCTTTGGCCTAACGTTGAAGGTATGACTGGCTGACTGAATAAAACGATCAAAAAATAACTTGTGCCTTTTAGAAGTATGTGTGTGCATATTGATTGATTGCTGACTAGCTTGCTTGCTTGCATGATTGATGGAATGATTGTTTTGTTGTTGTTTTTTTTTCTTTTTTTTTAAATTTATTTTTATTTATTTTCATTTATTTTTTTATTTTTTATTTTTTGCCAGGGTATTCAAATCACAGCGACCACGCCTGCTGCTACAGCTGTTCGTCTAGATACAGGTGTGATCTCTCTTGAAGTCTCCAATGCCGTTCCTTCTCCCATTGAACATGGAAAACTGAAAAGAAGTAAGAAATAATAAGAAATAAAAGTAATTTTATTTTAGTGGTTTTCATAAACTTTAGCTTGAAGTGCAATAAAAAATGGTAGTAAATATACAGTGCTAAATTAAAAATACMATCTAACATTCTGCTATGTTTAGTTCGGATTGGTGTCGGTTTGGTTARTAATTTCCAAAAATTCTTATGTTCTTATTGTATGGAAGTTTGTTTTCTCTTTTCTAAACTACTTGCAGCTATATTGAGATCAGGTTTTAGTCGTTATTTGAATACATACTACTTTTTAGGCTTTAATAGAAGTCACTTTTAATTGAAAATTAGAATTGTTTTTTATTTGTCAGTGYAAGTTTTTGCCGTGAGAGAGAGTGCTTTCAGTTAAAGCGTGAAATGCTAATTACTAAATAATGTGAAAATTAAAAGTGCAAGCTGAAGAAAAGAAAAGAAATAGCATAAAATAGTACAAAATAGTATTACTATTGTTTCACGCTTTTACTAAAAGCAATTAAACCACTCATAGACCATCATCCTCCAGTTAGCTCATTTGAAAACGATCAGACTKAAGAGGTTTACTTTTTACCTCCATACAAAGAATTCTAAATGTTGAGATACTAGTCTTCTTCATGGTTCCCTGCGCCATCTTGAAAGGTAGCCGTGCCTTTGCATCAAAACGAGACCACTCAGTGTTGAGCGTGCAATGATAGAAACCTGTGAATGATTGTCTATAGGTGTGAAAAAAGTTTTCTATCATTGCACGCTCAACGGTCGTCTCGCTTCAATGTAAAGGTACGGCTACCTTTCGAGATGGCGCACGTAACCGTGAAGGAGACTATTGCTTTTGTGTTCGATTTAGGTGGAAGCTTTGTGAAACTGTTTGGCAAAGCCCAGGTTGATATTAATCTGTCTCTTGGCCAGTTTATCAAAGTAAGTATAATGATGTTCTATTCAGTCATATGACCAAAAGTCTGAGAGATAAAACAAAGAATTAAGGCAGCCCAGCCATGTTGGTGTACATAACAATAGAAGTTGATGAGAAACTGTGACGTCTTGTAAAAATCAAGAGTACGAATACAACACAGGAGATTTTTTTTGTTTTTATCAGTTCACATGCGTAACAAGAGGCAGATATACGCAAAAACACTTTATCGGACATCAGTGATATTWCAATATTAATCTATTGTTCTTAACGCTTAACAGAGCCGAATTATCGACAACGAGCTGGATTATATGCAAATGGCGTACTTCAAAACAACGATTGGAGTGAGGAACTCCTTCCAGGTTGGTACCATTACTCAGTTAAAGTAATTTGTTTCTCAGTTTCATATCTTGCCGAACAGAAGTATCCACGAGATCAGAAGAGTACATAGTGATGTATAGTGTTGAGTMATCATATATTTCCCCTTTAGATGGAGTTTATGTATTTCTTAGTGGTGATCTTTAGCGTTAATATACATAATGATTGACCTTGTGTCGTACAGTGTCAGTTTGGCTACCAGCATGTTGCTAATTATCATCGCGATTACATAGATACAAAGGTGCTCTGTTTTACTTTACGTATCAGACCTGTTTTTAACTATTTCCTGTATTAGGACGTAAGTAGCACTCGTGGAACCGAAGACAAAGAGACTTTCCTGATCACTTTAACACAACCAAAAGTCTATGCTCAACAGATGGCATTTGATAAAGGTAACGGTGTTTATTAAAAGACCTTGGCTTATTCAACAAATTAATTGTTTATRATAAATTCAGAGAYTACCGATGTCCGACGGTGCCTTTTTTGATTTATATTGCTCGCTGCTTAGGTAGAACTATTCATCACTTATCCCTGAGAAGTGGTGGAGAAACCCTTCTCTCCCTTCTCCCAAGGAGGTGGTGCTGAACCTTTTCGCACTCCTTTCAGGGAAGTGTTGGAGATTACTCTTCTTGCTCTCCTCAACTATTCTGTTTATCCTCAAGTGCCTTTTACCTCGTATGCACTGAAAAAAGATTTTAAATCAAGTTTGTTTGTTTTAGCTGTGTTAGTGTATTTGAATTACAAGAATGCTTACGACCACTGGAACCAGCAGAAAATGTCCCTCCATGCTGAGGTCAGTAATTTAACTCTCATATATAGACTGTCATATAATAATAACTWGTGACTTTACCAMAGYGTTCAAAGATAGGGGATTTACACGATGGCCGCCACATACTACCAAGACCAGAATGCGTTGCCCACTTTCCATTATTGTATATTTAGTCTCAACAGAATACCTTTCGTATTTTCCTTGTTCTTTAGATTTTTTTTTAAATCCCTCTGGAGATTAGTAACAATTAAGACTAATTACATTACAAAAGAAAGCTGGCAAAGCATTCTGGTCTTGGTTGTATGTAGATGTAAGTTGAACCCAAAAAAATGAGATTATATCTATAAATGAAGTGATCTTGAAAAGTAAGCTCACTCATTAAAATTTCAAAATGCTAAATTACCTATGTAAATGTGAAACATCGAACCTATCGATATCAAAGAATACTGTCATTTCCTATAGGTCCATACAGCTACACAAGCCTTACTAGAAAAACTTCCTGCTAGAACTCATGCTGCACAACTATCCGTTTCGTTATTCCTACAAGTMACTGTTGATAGACTTGGTATTTGTATTCCACTATTCTCTGCAAATCAACCAAACGTTCCTGGAATCTATTCCAAACAGAATGGTATGACTTCGCTTGTTCTTTTCTCTTGTTTGTGTGTGGTTTCTCTTTTTGTTTATCCTCCCTCCTTCCTCCTCCCTTCTTCCCTCCCTTCTTTCATTCCTCAGTCCTCCCTATTTTTCTGTCAGTTTTTATTCTGTAGAAAAGATATACACTTAATTTTTAGTGTTTTAAAGCCCAATACTACAAGCAACACAAATTATGTGCTTCTTGTTTTATTKTTCATCTGATATCCCACTCATTCTCTCATTTTCCATTCATTTATAGACGTCGATCAAGGATCTGCGTTAATTCTATCAGTCGATGAGATGATGTTGTCGTGTTGTTCCAGTGCGTCATTTGTCAGCAGAGGAAAGTTCAACAGGTTTTGTCTTTGGTTTGCTGATAAGTTTGACATGGAGGCTTCGGAATGGAGACCTGACTCTAATTTGCGTCTTATGAACACATGTAAGTCCTGGTTTCTTTTTAACATTTATGTCTCAAAAGTGTGAAAAACTTGTAGTAAACCTTTGGTTGCGGATCAAAGGCGATCAATTTGTATTTTTAGCACTCTTATCTTTYTCTGTGTTATTTTCTTTGGATTAAAACATTAAGCTAGAGGTTGCATCATTCTACACTTTTCAATGGGGCAAAGTAAAGGATTCCACATTACTGTTTAGTTATGAGTATTAGTATGAGTATAGMTATCAGTTTGAATACGAACTTGAGTGTGAGTATGAGTATTGATATATTGACATCTTGTTAGTACCGCCATGACTTTTAAAGATTAACCAAACGTTACATTTTGTTGAAATCCTTTAGGTGTGGTTTCCGAAGGTACCTACGAACTCTGCTCAAAGACTAATCGATATCCAATCGTACCAGGTATACAGGGTATACATAGTATACAGGGCTCTAATATACGTAAAGAATGCTCTCATGTACAGAGCGAAGCCGTTCACCAATATTACCYTAACCCTAGACCTCCAACCTAACTTCTTAAAAAACGCWAGAGATATTGATGCCATGAGATAAAGTACTTATTATTAAATAAAATGCGTAATCCGAAAGACATTTCTAGATTGACTTAGCAAGTTATTACGATATATTGGCATACAGAGGCCTTGAATGTACGTGTTAATCGTTCAAACCTCCAACAGATATGGCGAAAACAGGAAAGTGGGTGATGTCCATTCGATGGCAGATGTGTGGAGTTGAAGTTCTCACTGACACCAATATTGGAAAATGGTTATCTTTGCTTGGTAACACGTTGACCGCTTTCGCTGGAGAAACAGATATCGCCAACTTGGACTCTGTAGCTGATATGACGGAGAAAGAACCTAGTAAAGATCTTACTGAAAATATAGACGAGGTTGATCATAAACCACCTTCTGTTCGCAAGTCTAGAAAGAAAAGTCTAGAAAAAGAAATGTGGGAACAAGCAAGAAAGGTCAACGAACTCAGGTAACTCTAGATGCTTCCTTTACCAGCCAATCACCGTGAAGCAAACCTACACAACATACTAGCGTRACCCTTAGCAGAAAAAAGTAAATTGTTCAAATTTGAAATACAATTTCCTGACTAGGAAAGGGTATAATCCAATTCGTAGCGCATGTTACTGACCTTATTTGATATAAACTCATCTCRGCTCGTGTAATTTTTCATCTGGAACGGTCCTTTTTATGACTAAAAGTAATTTCGAAGAAAATGCTTCTTTGCAGGGTTTCTCAGATGCATATTTGTATTTYTGCGTCATATAGCGATTTAAAAAATCGCTCTGAAAATTATCTACATTAAAATTTACCCCTATTCCTAGGAGACGRAGCGATGTCAGCCAATCAGCGTTGGAGAAAGAAACAAGACTACTGCAGGAATTGGAGAATGCTGTATTCAATGAATTCCGTAAAGGCGTTCGGAAAAAGATAAGAAAGCATTCCCGGAGTCGTCAAACCTACCCTTACCACATAAACACACAAAAATCTACTCCACCACAGCGGAAAACTATGTCAGAACGCCCTAAAAGCTCCAAAACACGATCCAGGCTTCGCAAACAGGTTGCTGAAGATGATTCCGATTATGATGACGACCTTCCTTTGAAAACTAAACCAAGAAATCATTTGAACGTCTCTGATATTCCAGTGTTGACAACTCCAGATTTTACTGGCATGGAGTCGACATCAACACTTACTTGGAGTAGAGAGGATGTTCTAGACGAGGGTGGAAGTGGGACACCATTCTGTAGTACTCCAGATGACAAGCAATCGTGGATGCAGCATTCTCATCAAAAGGTTAAATTCAGTCCGAGTGCTACTGAACTAAATGATTCAGGATCGTTCAGTCCAAAGAGCAGCATGTTAACTCAGCAGAATTTGGATTTTGAGCTGGACGTCATCGTGAATATAGATAGTGGAAAATGCGTTCTTCATCTAGCAAATGAAAACGACGAGACCAATGAAATGAGGTATTTATATTGTCAAAATAAGTAACAAACTGTGAAAGGGAGGCAATTAACACCCTTTTGAAGCAACCTCATGGGGACAAAACAAGACGTTTTCTATCTTGAGATAGCATTCTTTGTTTTGTCCCTCAGATGAAGTAGGATTCCCATGAACTGGAGGTACTAAATTTTCAACAATAAACTGAGGAGCTCAACCTTATTCAGAAAATATTTCACTTTTGTGCTCTTTTTTCTCAGCCTTTTTACTCTATTTGATCGCCTTAATGCTTCCAATTCAAATTCCTTCGTTTTCTTCCCCTCCTCTCCCCCTTCTCTCAGTGTCTATTCGAACAATCTTATTTTCAATTATATTTTTGATTATATATAGTTTACTTTTATTAGATTTCAATTGATTTTAATCTKCTTAACATTGTTCATTATTAGAACTCCATCCAACCGTACTTTTTCTTCCGCCGAACTGCCAAAGTCCAAACCGTTTTCGCCAAGTTACTCGGCTGGTGCTCGTCGATACAAGACCAACAGCCAAGACGTCAACTCGCAAGACACTGTCATACTTCTTCCTGGAGTAGATGTTCGTGTTAATTACTCGTCTAACTTTGAAAGCGAACTTGGAAGTCCCTCATCCTATGGACAAGATGGAAATGTGTTCCTGGTCAAACCACCTGACCAGCCAAGCTTTGATGCWCAGTCGCAKACTTCTCCCTCTAATGTGAAAGTCTTTAAAAGTGCTGGCGTCTACATATCGGTCTTGTTTCAATCCTTACCCCAGGAAATGGTGCTTAAACCCTCATTGATTGACTTCTTGGAGCGAGCTTTAGAGCCGATCATTTTACCCAGTGCCGAGGAAACAATTGATGCCGGTGGCTCGGTGTCTGACAATGGAAGTGATCCTGAATGTGAAACAGGAGGATCAATCGTATCTTCTTCCATGTCGGAATCATCCTCTTTTCCCGTTGATGTCGTTGTAGTATTCCGTGTGAAGCCATCTGATATTCGTCTAAGTTGTCAACCCGTTTCCAAAGTAGAGTGCATGCTTCGCCTTCCCGCCCTTGACGTCGTGTTTTCGTCCAAATCAAGCTGTAACAAAACTCCAGTACTGATGACATCAGGAGATCAACCTAAACTCGAAGATAGGAGCGTCCAAGCCTTTGAAAGTGGTGGAATTAGTTTTACATTCTGTTTATCAAGCTTCTCGTTCTGTATTTTTCATCCATATGGAAAAGAGCATACAGTGGTTACCAGGTCTACCAGTGCACCCTTGGATAATGGCGATTCACGTGAAGAAAATCGTCAAAGATTCCGCTTCAATCCCCCTCAGCCAATGTCAGGCAAAAAAGACTCTCTAAGTTTGGACGTGGAATTCATAAAGTTCAACTTATCCAGGAGACGGGTCTGCGATAGCCAAGAGAGTGTGCCGAACTCCCCCGGACCCACGTCATCAACTGTTGTGAAAGTGTCTGGTAAGCTAGTTAAACTTAAAACAATTTAGAAACTTGCCTATAATAACTCATAGTAAAGGTCGAACGTTAACCATCATAGGGTTTTTGGTACAGTCAATCAAAATCTCCAATCTTCACTCGAACCTCTCTTAAATCTATTCGCTCAAATCCGAGCGAGCTCCGAGTATTTTTAATWGCTCATAAGTTATATCACATGATGTACTTCTAAATGCCTAAAGACACTATTTGCGTTCTAGGTATATGTGATATCGGGTCAGCCGCCTTCACCTATGACATGCGCCGTCTCAATGAGATTTTAGACTTCCCTAAAGCCTGGTACAAACGTCGACTGGTGAGCAGACTGTTTCTTGGAAAGGAAGGCTCATATGCAACGAAATCTGCCAAAGAATCTCCCCATGTTCCCTTCCAAAGCCCTCAAGCTGCCAGGTCTCCTGCGGTGGAGGAGAAACGAAGGTACATCTTTGCTTGACATTGTTATARATTATATTCATTTGTTTACTAATGATATCAAACTTTGCCTTCTCAGTCGGTTGCAATTTCTCGGTGACTGATCCTAAGGGCTCCATAAGTGCAAGAAATTAAGCACTTTATTTTGATTGTGTTATATTGGGGCAGATCTGTATGATTAAAAATATAATAGATCAAACAAGCGCTGACGAGGGTTTGATAGGCGTAGAGACCCCTGTAGTGTAGAATGGTRTATAAGAGGTATAAGGGTTAGTGGATTTATTTTTATTTTTTGAATTGTGGCATGGCAATGTCGTCGAAAGAACAAAAAAAGAAGAAAAAATATCGTTTAGGTGTAGTTCAAACGTCGGGTTACTTTTTATAATYAATGAGCGTTTAAAGGCAAAATATTTAGCTGAAAACAATGGCCTTTGCATGTTAAATAATAGAAAATTGCATTAAGATCGTCGATAATTCTACTTGAATTAGGCCTCACCGTCTAAGAAGCCATAGTGCATTGTGGTCTAGCTTCAGTGCAAACAACACCTTATTTGGCCTCCTGAACAACAGATGTTTGAACTGAATCTAGTACACAGTGCATTGCGTGATGCTATTTCAGGAAAAACCTATAGTTTRTAAGCTAAGGTTGAAAAATTTTCTTGAAGAGCTTGAATAAATTTAGCGTTCACGTTTACGATTTGAAATAAGACCATAATGCCGAGAATGATAATGAATGACTTAACATGACGTACTTCATTAATATACTTAAGAACCTTTTACGTCACTACTTAATTTTCAATGCATTGTGGGATTAGTTTCCAGAGAAAACAAAAGAAATCCGCCATTTTTGTCCTAAACATGTCCTACAATTCATTGCGTATACGATACATGACGTAAAAGCTTCAGAGGTCTATTGTTTTCATAGTATGTGCTTATTTTTCAAGGTCCTCCCCGCCAACAAACGCTGAGCTACAAACACCACTATCTCCGTCAGGACGACCCATGCTGCATCGTTCAATGTCAGAGGATGAAAGGCATATGCAGTATACACTGGCGACACCTCTGAAAACACCTGCTAAACAGAAATTAGGTACGCGAGTATGTGTATCGCGTCAATAGGCAATGTGCAGCGACGCCATTTTGTGCAGCAAAGAATGATGGCAGTTGTAGTCCTCGAACTTTTTTATATCCGCTTCGAGAGTCCTCCTAAGCAGTTTTTGGTTTTTCTAAACAAACATAGAAGTAGTTTTACCGTTTAATAAAAGCGTCTTCTAGAGAGATATTTTAGGGGCTATTAAAAGTGCGAGTACTACAACTACCATCATGCTTTGCTGTACAACATGGCGCAGCTGCACATTGCATATTGAAACGGTAGTGATAATGACAATGATATAAAGAGAGAGAGAGATTAAAAGAKAAAGATGGTCCTGTTATTGACACACCGACTCTGATCGCGCTAGAATTCACGTCAAGTTTGGTAAAAATGGATATGGATAGAAGTAAAAAAACATTAAATTATTATAAATATTCATATTTCAGCTCACAAGAAAACCACATCAACGGCTGGTTTGTTTAGCTTCCTTCCGTCATCACCCAGTCTCTTCCGGTCGATGACTATGACAGGAAATAGGCAAGGACTTTTGTCCCCCACTACGCCCCACAAGATGAAACGGCGTACTTTATCAGGTAAGGACATCCTTTGTAGAAGCTCGTTCCATGTAGGTGATAAACATTAGGTTTTACTTGCCACAAGAGAAAAAATCTTTTGTTTTGCCACCAAATAAAGTTTTTTTATTGAAATAACTGAGCATGTTGAATTGTTAAACTTGATTTGTGCAGATGTTACGTGACTATAGTTTCTTCAAATAATAATTATTCCATTCTAGAATATGTAGAATATGGAGATATCAAGAAGAATGAAAAGTCACAGCAAGATCCAGTAGTGAACAGCTCAGTCGATAATACAGACACAGAGGTCGACGGACCCTTGAGTCAATCATCCTCATCAAGCTCAGGATCCAAGTCCAAATGGGAGACTGCTATAGTTGTAGCCGTCAATCTATCAAGGCTTGATGTGAATACCAATATGGGAAGTGTAATGGGACAAACACTGTGAGTAGGCAATATGTAGTAGCGTCATTTTGTACAGCAAAGAATGATAGAAGTTGTAGTCTGCGCAGCTTTTTATGCTAATTAAAGTGGTTCCGAAAGCTGTTTGTGTTTTCTTTTCTTGTATCTTTGAGAAGAAAACACGAAAACAGATTTTGTTGGGTGTCTCAAAAAGCTATGCRAAGACTACATTWACCGTCACGCTTTGCCACACAGGAAATGGCGCCATTACCTATTGCAGGTGAATTAAAATTATCCCGTGCATCGTGTACATTTAGGCGTTCATTTTGTTGTTGTATGTTGTTTTTTTATTGCTATTGCATGTTGCTGCTGCATGACATGAGTTGTRGATATTTTTTGTAAGGGGTAGGGGCATTATMAAGGATTTGTGCGCAAACTCTTTACATAATAAGAGCGGGAAAATAGCGCATTAATTAGTTGAGATATTAATTGAGATACTCTTTTTGAGCYTATTTTGRCGTGAATTATTAAGGTTCATTGGACCACGTGACCCGTCATTCAAGTAGCGTTCAAGCTAGCCATTTTGCCATTGATTTTTTCCTGTGAAATCTTAACCACTGTAATTCACTTGGTCATCAGATGGAGCACCAGTGATTTACGAGCACAGGGTCATCTTACGCTGACCAGCACTGGCCGTCGACACTTACAGACCAAACTCAAAGTCAGGCAAGCTGTTTGTGAGTCGCGGAGTGGCATCGTAGGTGGTCATGCAGAAATAAACGATTTCATTGCAAAAGGTACACCTCAATTGTCATATGTTTATATAGTATTTTATAAAATATCCATAGCCCTGTGTGCCACGAGGCACAAGGAGGACAGGTAACATGAAGTATTCTGGTTAATACCAAAGCTCTAATTGGCCAAGCCGTAATACATATAAAATTGCTGGTATATAACGCCCGCTCTATCTCTGAAGACAATAATTTGAGTTTTGAGAGGTTTTGCAAATGTGCGATCAAAAAAACGAGATTCTTCTCTTTTGTTTCTGATTATGCGTTTTCTTCAGCTCCCCTTCTCTCATCGTGTTTATGTTAAATTCGCCCGTATTATATTTCCTTAACATGCGGACACGTATGCTTCAAGTACTTGAGCTATAACATGTCACGTAGGTCTGAGGTCTTCCGTTGACAATGTACTTAAACTAATAAACGTTTTAATCTATTGTAGCCAATGGAACTGAAGAGCGAGGGTGTAAACCTGAACACATGGTTCAAATTAAGCTTTGCCATGCTGAAACTAGGATCGACTATATGGGTACTTGTATTTTAATGGGCAACATATCAGCATTGCAGTTTGATTTGAAAGACCAGTGGATACTACAACAAGGCGATAGTCCTTCTACAGGTGAGCGAGTCACTTCTTGCAATTCTCAACCCTTTCCATTTTTGCCGTTTGCTTCGGAGCTTTCTTGCTTGCTTCGTTATTAATTGATCTATCCCATTATGTATATTCCATTCTTCCTCATCCCACTTTTCCTTTTCGTAAACTTCTGTCCAAATTGTTATGTTTGGCATTTGGTTAGATATCGATTGTTTATGTTTTTATTTCAGACTCGTTGTTCAAGATTGAGAAGGAAAGCCCTGTTCAGAAAGAACCACCTCAATGTAAAATCTACGTCAAGGCAGATATGTCATGGACGGACTTTAAGTTAATGATATCTCGTTCCACAACGCCTGACTTAATTAAAATGATTGCTAAGATACAGGAATTCTTTACGCAACAGCATAGGAATAGTCTTCGAGCGCTGTCAACCCTAAGGAATCCCACACCCCTAAATGCAGGGACTATACTATCTAATTTAGCCACACCCCAGTCCACTACTACACCAAAGGTTAAAGATAAAGACATGGAGAACGATGGTGTGTACAGTATACGTTTTCGTTGTTGTTTTCCTTTTTTTCTTTTTTTTATCTGTTGTTGTTGTTTGTTTTTGCTGTGTTCTTTTGCTGTGATCTATTCTTTTGTTGTTGTTGTTGTTGTTGTTGATGTCGTTGTTGTTTTTGTTTTTTTTAGTACGTTTTCCATTTGTGTTGATCTGTGGTTATTTTATAATTCTGTAGTAGGAACAATAACGAACGATTGGCTGTATCCTATTTGATCTGTTGTTCTTGATCCAGGTCTAAAATACCAACACTGGAGTAAAGTCCTAAACGCCGTGACTGGTCTAAAGCTTTCCATGTTGAGCGACCCTATTCCAGATCGTGGAGTTATACTTGGTGGAAGCTTGGCACTGCGAGGCAAGACAGTATCCCTTGCCTGTTTCCATGGTGTCAATTTTCGCGCGCAATCTTGGGTTCTATTCAACCTTAAACAACTGTATACTGAGTTTATCAGCAGAGTAAGAGCTGAGGAGAARAGTTGCTATGTTCGTCGAGTAAGAGCTGTTCAAACTCTTTTGATGAAGCTTGGTTATGGGGAAGAAGACGAGGATCTTCCAGGAAACCTTTCGCCTTCAATGTGTGAGTAGTGAACAACTCTTTGGTTGTTGCTGTTGCTACTGTGATTCCGTGGTTAGCCAATTTCTGCGAACTCATAGGAAGTGAGCCACTCACAAGTACTTTTTTGAAGTCCCCATAATAGGCTTGAAAGCTCGGGTTCTTTTTATCCGGGGAGACGTAATTCTCTAACCATATTTATGTGGAGAACAAAGGCAGTTACATCGTCTCAATCATTTTAAGACCCTGGGAAGTGGTCCGGCCTCGGACAGAACCATGATCTGCCGCACAATATTCCGATGCTCACTGAACTAACCCGTTGTTTGTCTCCATTTTTGTRAATAGCTTATTGTGTAGTGGTTCGTAAAGTATCAAGAGGTAGACGCAACCCTCCCTCCATGGGCAGTACTGTGCAGGAGTGGCTTACCTACGTGTGTGCGACTGGTGAAGACGACATCTGTCCCTCAGAGGATMCCCCCAAACGTGGTGAATCCTTCAACAGTTCAAACAAGAAGCAATCTCAAGGAAATAGATCCAGGGCTAATAGCTACCGTTACGAACACGATTCAGAACCTGTATTCGGTCTTCCAAAGTTTGAAGTAGAGCTCGAAACCAAACATGATATGCCAATGTCATACTTCGCCTCGACTTGGTCAAGGAAGAAACATTCCATTACGTCACGTGCCTTGACTCGGCCCAGTCCACACGTTGTGCAATGTTCTTTGACGTCTTCTTTTGAAGATAGCTTATGTGTGACGATGGACGTAGGATTGCTGTTTTTCCTCCATGATGTGGTGAAGTCGTACATAAAAGAAAACGAGACATCGTCAGGTAAAATACGGCAATAAAATTGTTAAGAAATCAATTGTTCCTCTTCTATATGTTACTATATTATGCTTTTTTATTTTATTTTATTTATTTTTATTTATTTTTTATTTATTTGTTGTTGTTGTTGTTGTTGTTGTTGTTTTCTTTTTGTTTTTTGTTTTTTTTATAATTGTTTAGAAGGATTTTTGAATATTTGTTTACTGTTCTTTTTTCAGGTTCGATTCCTCGTGGAGCACCTAGTCCCGCGCGGTCTGACACTCCAGAAAAAGACGAAAGAGAAGTAGCACCTAAAGTCGACCAGCAAAAACGCATCCGTCAGTTCCGCAGCGAGGGATGGAAGCTGGAGCCGCGAGTAAGGTTTATGTCATGGGCTGGCAAAAACATCGAACCTGTCAACATTGATTGGGTATTACAAAAACTTGGTTTTACCCATGCACGATTGACCATCCCAAAGTGGGCCCAACGAGGCGCCATGGATCCCATGGATGTATTTATATCAATGCTGATTGACAAAATGATGGCCACTATGCAAGAAGACTCTAATAATTAAATTGATTAAATAAGAATCCTTCAATGATCAACAACCGGAATTCAATGCGGCAGTGTAGTGCTTATTTATAGCAGCACAATCAGTTTCCACTCGACGATTATGAGATGGAATCTTGCAATAAGTGACAATAAAGAGACTTGCGTTTACATTGGCAGGTTTCGAAGTTTCTTTTTTTATTTTCTGAACATAAAGAAAAGTTCGTAGAGGTGCCGGTTGTTGGTGGCATTTTAGAATAATTACTCGTTTTATACTGTAAGTTCTCCACCGTACTGCTGTGACTCGGCCACTGTAAGGCTATTTAGTAATTTAGGATGCTGCTGTTGAGTTACTCTTAAATCAAATAATATGATAGTCAATCTTAATTAGATCGAGATTTTTTTTTCAAATTTTATTGTAACTATACACAGCTTCATGTCATTGGTTTGTTTTCATCTTTAGAATTAGGCCAGTTAATTAAAGATAACCGGCGTAACTTTTATTGTATTTTTTAGAAAACAACTTTGAGTTGATAAGTAGTGTAGTTTGTCGCGACATGTAAGTTAATTGTATTATTAGGCAGGGATCACATGTGAAATAAAGTTCAAAGAAAATAGAATTGAATATGTGCATTCTTTATTGAACGCATTCGCTGCGCTTACTCGTGRGAGATCTTTTCGACACTCGAAGAAAAAATCCGTGTATCTCTCGCGCGCCCATGTAATATCCTCTAAATTTATCCTCTATAACACATTATTACTCGTGACCACGCCATGGCCGGGGCATGAGGTATAAACTGCAACGCGTATAGTTTTATTTATTTATTTTTTCCAAGTCAGAAGTTTGCCTTCGGGTCTCCCGATCGCCCTACGATCTCTCTACGAAATATCACATTACGAACTCGGCTGTAAACAATCGTATCATAGAACAGTTAACTGCCCCTGACTATAGTAATTCTTTCATATTTGAGGCCTTTTGTTATTCCAAAACATTTATCTGTATGAGAGCATATATTATGACATTGGTGACATTGGTTCAGGTCATCAAGGTTGGTGTATCGTGCCAAATAGTGCATTTTCCTTGGCGAGACATAAACCGATCGTAGCTGAGTGAAGCCGCAACGTGGCTGTCTGATTCTGAGTTGCATAGCCTAATTTTTCAATTTTATTAGGGATTCTGTCTCTTCTGGATTAAAGAAAACAATGCTATTCACGGACGAGTATTCCTAGATGAATATTGAAGCGATCAATGATGGTTTTATAGAGCGCGATAAAACCATCTTCAATTGTTTAAAGATCGTTACCACGGCGACACTGAACTATCACCGACACTCCGAAAATTGTCTGATTTTAAGGATTTTGTGAAAAGTAATCAACAAGGAGTTACTTTCACAAATTTTACTCTTAGTATATGGGATTTCAAATCACTTCGTGATGTATTTACATGGTGTTGGGCGTATATGCGAACAAGTGAGTTTGAAATGAGCCCAATTTAAAGAAAAGTACTGAATCTGAGCCAGCACTTTTCAACAMCTTTAGGGCACGAGTACACCCTGCCTGTCAGGGTCTAGTTAGTGTTTAACTAATGACGTCATATGAAAGCCGGGAATATGATGTAAGGGAAGGTCCTTTTAACTTTTGAGGGGGGGATGATTTTGAAAAAAAAAACAAGCCATCTTCACCAAAAATAAAAATCGTGCACAACATACGGACCTAAAAAAAAATCTTGCACCACAAGCCCCCTAAAAAATGTTACATACAAGAAAACAAAAATTCCTACACACCACCAAGAGAAAAAGAATTTTTCATACCCAACCCCCCCCCAAAAAAAAATAAAAAAAAATAAAAAAAAAAAGTTAAATGGACCGTCCCTAATGGCCGGGCTGTCCGTGAGGCTCATGAATTCAACATTGATTCAATTGATTCACTAGTCATTGTGTTTACACACCGTGATGCAAATATTCTACCAACACGGGTCAGTTTTACACCGTCCATGATACATGTATTTCACCTCATGGGTTATATTTACACCCTGATAAAAAGTAAYCCACCTTCATGGGTCTTCAAATGTTGGCCTTTCTTTCTTSGCAATCACTGTAGCTTCTGTTCTGACATTTTCAAGAACACTTTGGTGTATTAATCTKAGCATAAAAGTGTCTGCAATGATTTTGAACACTTCAAAGATTCGCTTTCTTCCGAGTATGTGTATACATTATATTAAGAATTGTAAGCGTGAGCGAATCTTCGAAGTTTTCAAATGTTATATTTCAGACAAACTTTATATTCAGATTACTAAACCAAAGTGTTCTTGAATAATCATTCTAACTTTATCGAGTGATTTTGAAAATCATTTACAATTTTCAGTGGTTTTCAAGACATTTTTTCGAACCTGCATTGAACATAATTAAAATTCGAAACTAAATGCGGTCGCCACAGGCAACCCAAGCTCATCATATTAATGTTTTTTTTTATAATATTCATTAATAATTCATAAGTTACACAGCCATTCAGTGACCGTTATTGTAGTCACATGACTTCCCTTGTATTCACCAATACAAACTTTAAAAGCGGGGAGGGTTTGAATTCAGAGCAGGGAAAGGGTGGGGTTGATGTATAATAACAATAGAGAATGAGATCTATTAGTATTACATAAAAATACAGAATACTAATAGATCTGTTAGCCTGCTATAGAAAAAAATATAAAATGCTGATAGACATCGATCTAGCAAAATGAATAGACAGAATTGCACGTATTTACATTTACGATCATTTTTCTTGAGCAGGTTTAATGAATTTTCTGCCTTTACGTTTTGTAGAAGCCTGTTAAGGCCGGAAACAATCACAAATATAGATTTTGATGAATATTGTACAGACTTTACATTTTGATACCATGATAAAATAGCTGTACGGCAGTATGAAGTGGGCTGAAGTGCTGATCTGAATACTCCAATTTCGAGTTCTGGTTTGCTCTGTGTTAGCCTCAAAACCAAGTAACATATTCTTTTGTTTTATTGATAGCCCGAGAAAACGCATGGAATTTGAAAAGAAAGACAATAGAATTGAATTGAACTCTCACACATTTATTCTCACAATTAGGAATATTTTGTGCACCAATGAGGCTAACACAGAGCCGCATTGGAGAATTCGAAACTGGATTATTGTATTCTCTAGAACTCTAGCGAGTCACACCTTTGTGATGTCTATTCTCATTTTAAACAAAGGAACGACATGGGTTTCCGAAATCATTTTTCAAATTATTCGTGATGCAAGCATCGACAAAAGACCAATCAGAAAACGAGTRCTGTTTCTTGAGATGACGAAGTTCAGGAACAATGTCAATACAAAGGAAGAACTCAATGACTTGTATTTGAATCATCCTT